AGTCCCTAGAACTTCCCCTTACCCTCCCATCCTCCCTCTTCCTGTTCCTTTTCCTCTACTCCACTGGTCTTTTTTTTAAAAAATTATTTATTTATTTTTAATCAGGGTGCTGCGGCTCTGTATAAAGGTGAAATCCACTGTCCTATGTTCCTACATGTCCCCAGGAGAGTTTGGGCAGATTCATTCCACTGTTCCTTCTTTCTCCCATCCCTCCCCAAGTCCCCTTCCTCTCCTCCACTGACCTCTCTTCCATTCTCATGGGATTGCCTGGCCTTTGGTCATGCAGTGCCTGTCACCCTGCTTGTCATCAGTAAGTAGTTGAAATAAGTATGAAAAATAAGTATGAAATAAGTTGAAATTCAGCGTGTTATTGAGGAAGTGAAGCACTTTTTTTCTTACATCATGAAACCGTGTCCTTCCCTCTTGCTTCCCCCTCCAAGGAGCCCTAGTGGAGACTCCAGCGTGGCCCAGAGTCCTGCGCACCCCTAGGCAGGTGAGACGTGTCCCCGGGTCAAACTTGAGAAACGGCTTCTGTTTTCCCAGCTCCGGCAGGGATCACCGACTCCGGCTGGTGTGAATGCCCTGTTTGTTTTCCTCCTCCTCTCTCTGTTTGCCATTGAAAAAGTCCATTAGTGTTGAGTGACGTGACTAAACAGAAGGACAGAACAGTAGATGTGTTAATAACGCTTAGGTAAATACCATTTGTTATTGTCACCTCTAAGACGATCAGAGAGGTGGCACCACTCCTGGTCCTGGACCGTCCTTTCTTTGGCTCTGTCTTTCGCACCTGGAAAGACAGGTTTGGAGAGAGGACTCTGGAGGGGATTGGTGAGCAAGAGGAAGGAGGGTCTGGGAAGGAGAGAAACAGGGATTCTGAAAGGGACAGAGAACAAGAAAGAGCAGGGGAGCCACCCACACTCAGGTGCACACACGCGCACGTACATGCACACACACGCAAGGAAGCAGACGAGGGAGATGGACAAAGGGCAGAGGATTACAGGATCCCTTGCCGGAGCGCACACTCTCTAGGGCTTCTGACTCCGCATTTGTTATTTCTTAGCAGCTCCAACTTGGACCTTCTGGTCACATATCTGCTCTTCCACCAACATCTAGGATGTGCAGCCTCACTGCCTGTGACTCAGAGGGAGGTGATGTTGGCTGGATAAAGAGAATCAGCAGAAAAGGGTTTCACAGCATCACTATGGAGGCCGGGGGTGGGGGGGATGGGGATGCGGGGAGGAGCTTCCCTGTGGCTGTCTCCACATTGCAATGGAATGACCCTGTGATTGTGGGGACGTGGGTAGGAGGATGAGACGTGACCATGAAGATTCACATTTGATTGGAAAACATTTGTAAGCTGGCTTTCTTTCTTGGCTAAGAGGCTCAGTGACCCCAAGCCTAACTTTTTGCACAGGAGTTTGTGCCAACTGGTTGTTCCATCTAAGCATCTTTGGGGTCATGATTTTAAGGCAAGTGAGACACCGACTTTTCTTTGAATCTCCGTCTCTAGCTAGAATGGTCATGCACGACTTTAATGCGGGGTCAATGACTCGAAGACACCAAGTTGGCTAAATCTGTTTCATGCCCTGGCTGGACACACAAGTACTCCCCTATGGGTCATACATTCTGAAATAAGTCCTTTACTTTGTTCCATGTGTGATTATTTTCACAATGCTTTCAAAGAGAGACAATAAAGCATCATGATTAAGACTTCAACTCCGCTGTCGACCAGGGGAGAGGTTCCAGAAGGAAATCAGGCAAGAGCTTTACCTCTGTGGGCCTCAGTTTCCTCATCTATAAGATGGAGATTACAGTAGAACTTTTATCAAGGGATTAGAATAAGGACTAAAATAAAATAGGAAAGCCAAACATTTAGCACAAGGTCTGTATGAATAACCGTCCATCATTAATAAGATGATCAGATGTTAGCATCTGTTTTCTTGGTTCTCACCACTCTCCATTCAATGAAGAAGAAACTAAGGAATGAGAAATTATTACAGCGTCATGTCCACAACACTTAGAAGTGAAGCCAGGACCCTAAAGAAAACATCCTGTGCCTCCCTCACCCCATGACGAAGCCTCTGAGGCTGTGCTTTCACCAGGCTAAGCTCTGAAAGACGGAAGGTGAAGAGAGAAGAGGGCTGGGGATAGAACCTCATGGAATACACAAGGTTTGGTGGACGAGAAGAGTAAGAAGTAAAGAATGAGTTCTTGGGAAAGGAGAAGAGCAAGTTTTTTTCACTGTTGCAGAAAAAACAAGGAAGATCTTTTCCAAAAGAACCGGGGAAGCGAATCACCAGGGTCAAAACTCAGGAAGTCAGAAGAAAGGACTTGGAATCGGAAAATAAGAAGGTCCTTTATTTGTTCAACAAATATTGACAGAGCCAGGTGCATACATCTGGCGCATCCTGGTTCTGGGACTCTGTGGGTGAACGTGCAAGGCCTGGCCCTTACTCCCCGAGAGCTTATGTCCTGGAAGGAAAAATAAGCACAATAAAAGTGAATTAATAAAGTCAAGATCTCATTTCAGGTGCTGTGATTTCTGAGAAGATTAAAAGTATTATGTCATAGGAGGCGATTTGGGGGTAGGTGGGCTGCTGAAGCTCCTTTGATTAGGGGAGGTGGCTTTTTGAAGGGAGACCTAGAAGGAGCCAGCCAGGGGAAGATTAAAAGATCAAAAGATGCATGGCAGGAGGAGGGAGATGCTGAAGCGAAGTCCCTGGGGCAGGAACGAGTCTGACTGTGACGTCCCATAGGGCACCGTCACAGTGATGTGGACAGGCAGACTGTGCCGGCTAATGGAGGAGAGCCGACTCGCAAAGCAAGAGAGAGCCTAAAGCTACGCTACCAGAGTCTCTATTGAAAAGAGGAAATGAAGTGGTAGAAGGGCCACTTGGTGGCAGCTGTTCTTTTCCGGGGGACTTTTCATTTCTTTTCCTATTGCCATGACCCCTCCTCAGTGCCAACATTCCCAACCAGAAAGCCACGTCTTTAGGATGCCCACTAACAATTGTGCTGAGTATGTGGGGTTCGGAGATAGGAATAATCAAATCCTCCCCCTCTGAGCCTCTGCTGACAGCATCAAACGTGTCCGTACTGGAAAATTCTGTCACTCGTTCAGCAAACACAAGGCTATTTGCTTCAGATCCTTTTTTTATTGTTGTTCTCTAGAATCTCCAGCACCTTTGGTTCCTAAGGTTCCCTAGAACTCATCTCACGTTGGTCACTCTCCTGATTCCCCTGCTGGCCCAACCCCACCACCCCAGGTCAGATCCCAGAGCAGCGTGGACCAACAGAATCTTCTCCAGCGATGGAGATGTTCTGCATCTGTCCCGTCCAGTACGGTAACCACTAGTGATAAGTACTCAGCACGTGATCAGTGGCCCATGTGATAAAGGCATATTTAATTGACACAGTTTTAACTATTTTAAGCTGAGTCACAGGTGGCCTAGAGTTTTGAATATTCCAAAGAGTGAAAATTTAGGAGAGTTTATTGATTCCCGTCACTTTGCAAGTTCTTGTTATCACAGAGACATGCAGCAACACAAATCAATAATGCCCAGGTCGGTCAGTGAGAGGATTTCTACCCACAGAAGGAAAAAATGGCATATATCCAAAGTTGGCCAAGATTGGCAGGCAGGAAATACTGCCTCTCCTGTCTGAGAACTTATCTCTAAAGGTTGTTATCTCTTCCCGTGTGTTCTGAGCAGTGTGGGTTTCTTGAGGTCTTTGATGGGAAGCTCATCATTAACAGGCTTGGGAACTTCTGCACACATTTCCCTTCCCTTGTAGATTCACAATGTATGGCGTCATAGTAAAGACTCTGGGAATTTCTACAGCATGTAGCTCTGGAAAACACTGTTCAGCTTAGTGTTTCTCCAACATATTTAACCACAGAAATGTGTGTGTCTGCGTGTGCCCTTCAGGGGTGGAAGAAGAAGGACCTGAGTATCCAAGACCAGATCTACCACCTTGGGAAAGTCACTTCATCTTTCTGAACTTCATTTCCATCATTTGAAAAATATTGACTCTATCTGTGTATCACAGGCTTGCATGAGGATTAAATTTAAAAACACGTATAAGGTATACATAACAGTTCTTGAGATAAAGTGAATTTTCCCTCAATGGTTAGCTGTTATTATTTTTATTTATGAAGTTAAGTGACTAAATGACAGACTTTCTGGGCACAGGGAGAAATGCATTATGAACAAGCAAAACTCATTTGCTGCCTAGAACAAACTTAATATTGTATTAGAAACCTGGATGGGAGAGTGATCTTTTCAGCCCCCCTTTGTTCATCCTTTACTGAAAACATTAACCCAGTGGCCTATGCTTTCCTGAAAGCCATTCTCAACACAACAGCCAGATGGAACCTTTGGAACCAAAAATTGGAGTGTGTCATTCCTTTAAGGCCTCCCATCTCATGCAAGGAAAAATTAGCACTTCCATAAGGACCTCCAAGTTCTATGTGGTCTGATCCCGAAGTGTCTTGATTCCTACTAGTGCAAGTCTGCTCAGGCAAACAGATTTTCTTGCTATTCCTTGGAAGGGACAGGCACACTCACCCACCCCAGGACCTTTGCACTTTCATAGACTACATCTCTATTTACCTGCAAAGCTTTTCCCATACATCCTTCTGAAAATCGAAATGTTTCCCCCTTCATCATACCTAAACTGTAATACACCCCAACATGCTTCAGCACTTCTGTCCTTCCTTGCTTTACATGTTTTTACTCCACATTTGATATGCTACTTTATTAGCATTTTTTTCTTATCTGTTTCTACCCCATAAATCAAACAGCACGAGAGCCAAATATTTTTGTCTCTCATTTTCTGCCATAGCTCAGTGCCTAGGATGGTGTCTGGCACAAAGGAGATGCTTATTAAGGGCTTATCGAATGAGTGAATAAGCTGTGTGTGTTCTGCTCCTACAGACCAGGTCCGTTTTCTCTAAGCCCGGTTGGGGGTGGCCTGTTGAAGAACAAAGGACACATTTACAGGCTGGTCTCTGTGGCTTTTATTAGTGTTTTCTGGGACCCATCAAACAAACAAACAAAAACAAACCCACATGTTGAAAAACAGTAATTCTCTCGTGAAACAGAAACACTCAGTTTGAATTTAATGTAGTTTAAAGGGAAAGAGTTCTGATTTTTAAAACAATAGTGGCAGTACGGTTGTTTAAAAAAAAAAATGTCAACCCAGAAGGCAGAAGGCAAGAAAAGCATGAATTATGCAGATAGCTACAGAAAGATTAATCCCAATTCAGCTAAACATGTGAAGGCCTGCGTATTCCAAAAGTTTTATAAGACACAGTTTGAACGGATTTTTTTCTTCTTAAAAGGCTTTATCGCTTATCCCAGAAACTGAATCCTGAGACCCAAAGCTGAGCATAATTCAGCTCTGATACTGTGATCACCATGACACTGTTTCATTCATAACAGTAAGGATTCCTCAAACAGCTACATGTCAAGAAACTATCATAGCGAATATAATCAGGCCAGCTCCTCACATCTGGTTCCACACTGTGTACATAGTAGGAGCTCAACAAATGCTTGTTTTTAACTATAGAAGAATGACATAATTGCTTTTCCCTCTGTTTTACCTTTTCTTATGTTTTCTGTAACTGAAAAACAACACGCTTGCAAAACTAATATCTAATAGGCATTACTAACCTTATCAAAAGATCCCTTGGTATTTTTTTTCAAGAAGAAAAAAATAAAATAAAAACCAACCCCCAAATACTAAAACTTAAAACTGTTTTACACTTAAATAGCCACTGACATCATATAAACACATTCATAATCTTCATTGGTTAAAATAGGTCAAGGATTCATTTACTGGCATCTTGAACCAGGTAGGTCTCACAGTTCCAAGGAAGGCAACAGAATCCTCAGCCAACGTATGTTGACTGGTGGGACCAAAAAACCTGCTTGGGTTTCATTTCAGCCCAGGTGAGAAAGCAAAGGAAGGAGTGTCACAGTAAATTGTTCATCATAGATAATATGTCCTCGAAGATTTGGCTGCCATGTTCCTATTCCAGTGAAGAAATCATTCATGTTCCAATTATAGATTGGGCCTCCTCCTTGAAGGAATCTTCCAGAAGACGTTCACTCATTCATCCAGCAAGTATTCATTGTCTACCTGTTTCTTGCCAGATACCAGGAAAACAATAGTGATGAGACTTTGTCCCTGCCCTCAAAGAGCTTACAGTCTAGCAAGACAAAAACCAGTGTATGCAAAGGAAGGCTCAGAACCTGGATCTGCTCTTCTCAGGTGGCACTTTCAAGATGCTGTGGGATGTCCCTGCGAGCCACGGGCCTTGCTCAAGTTTTATCAAGTCAAAGAGGCACCTAGGATGATCTAAGTCTTGGGAAGACTAAACAGTGTATTGCCTGACTTTATACCTACTGAGAGGGCTAGAGCCCTTGGCTTACAGAAGGTTCCAAGAGACCATGTTCAGTGCCCAGGTGGACATTCATCACTGATGAGCTCTTCCAGTGAGAGGCTGCGTGGCCCCCCAAAGAAAGGGGGGCTTCTCTACAGGATTTGGCTGTATCTTTCAACATTACAGTGGGAAATACTCTGTTCACACCCCAAGTTGGCAGGACTCGGTTACCTTGAGTTCTCCAAGTCACGAACAGCACATAGAAAAGGCAGCAAAGTCAAGCTGAGACAACAGCGATATGCCGAGAACTTAATACTTCAGCCTATTTAGACAGGCACTGGGTGCCAAGAAACTGTCACTTTCGACAAATAACACAATCTGCTATTTATCTGCAGAACTGCTCCAGTTGCTACTCCCCAGACAAAGATTGCTCTTTAATGGAAAAGTCGCACCAAGAACCAAAGCCCACTGGGAGGAATTTACAGATATGAGGAAGAATGAACTCAGAGAGGGATCTAGTAGACACCTTAGATGAGGAGCAAAGCCAGGAAAGGAACAGCAGAGAGAACTGGCAGATGCCCCTAATAATTCCACACAATTCAGACATGCACAGACACACAAATATTCATGTATTACACCACTTCAAATACCCGGATGTCTAATTCATTCTGTGTAATTTATAGTCAAATGCTGGGAAGGCCCCGTGGTTCTTCAGCCTTGAAAAACAAGGTGTGTCTTTTGTGCAGTAAGATCTGGGTTGCACAGTCAAGGTCCTTGGTGTTCCGTTGTTATTTTTCTCAGCCCCCCTCAGTAACTTTCACTTGTAACACCAAGTAAAACCTTTGTACAGGTGACCGAGTCAGGCAGAAATGAAATGAACTGGGTTGTCCTTTCAGAAGGTCACTCAAGGGTGTTCCAAGGTCACCATGCTTAATGGTCCTCATTATAATTAGGATATTAATTCTTCTTACATCTAGATCTTTGAATACATTATAAGCACTTAGCAACCCTTCGGTACGAACTGCTCAACTCCCTGGTCAGGAAGGACATGATGACAGGGGCTCTATTTGTTGCTAAAGGTCACTCCTATAGAGGCATATCTTCATTCCTGTCCCATTGCTCATGATAGAGGCAGAGCAGAGGAGAAAGTCAAGGGCGTGAGGGGGGGTAAAAAGAAAGATTGCAAAAAGAATCTGGTCCTGATCCATTTTCAAGGTACCTACAGACTCATATCCCTCCCAGCTTGCATGATCCAAAATCTATCTTCAAGTATTCCAGAATAATCCCATGATGGAAGTCGTTTCCAACTCCTTGCTCCTGAGCTGCACTTTATGTGTATCTCTTTCATTCTTCCTCTCTTTTTCTTTTGAAACATTTCTGTGAATGCAAATCTATGCAATAACCCTTTCACTTTGGGATGAGTTCAGAGGAGACAGGAAAGAGATGATCCAAAATAAGAAAGATTGTAAGAAAGATGCCTACAAAGAGGGCTTTCCCTAGGAGATTCTCTCTCTTTTTCTCTCTCTCTCACACACACACACACACACACACACACACACACATTCTCCTTTTGCATTATAATTTTTTTACTCTGCCTTAAAATTCCAGTGCACGGGTGTAGTATTGTAGCTTTTCCTGCATTACTACATTTCATTCATCTGACTTTGGCTCTCATCTGAGTTCTGAAAAGAAATTCCTCTCAATATTTCCTTTCCTTATCCCTAACAGTTTAAAACATAAAGATAAGTTAATTTTAGAGTCTTGCTTTCATTTTAGGAACTAAAAGAACTTAACAAATCTTTTTTGTTCCAGGAATAAATCACCGTCTTCATCTTGACTGGCTAAATCAGTGGTTCTCCATGAGGGGGGTCAATGTGTTCCCCTGGGGGACATCTGGTGATGTCTGGGGACATTTTGAGTTTGTCATAGCTGGGGACTGCTATTGGTATCCATGGGGTAGAGGTAAGGAATTCTTCTATACATCCTGCAATGCATGGGAGAGCCCTTCTCACAAAGAATGAAATGTCAACTGCGCCAATTGAGAAACCTTAAACTACAGAGATCCAAGAGCAAACGCCTTAGTCATTTTCCTACCAACACCTCCTTTTCCCCATTTTTCTATTTTTAATCATCTAGAATAAAAATAACCAAGACTCACCTCTCTCTCTCTTAAGTAACTAGAAGTGAGCAGATGTAGCAGTTGACATTTCTTCACCAACCATCCGAGGGAAAGGGGGAATAGGTAAATCATCCCTGGGTGAGTATAAAACCCTTCACCATTATTCTTCTCACCCAGAGACCTTCCAGGTCACGTGATCCTAAGTGATTGCAGCCCACCCTGGATTTGGGGAGTCTCCAATCTCTGCTCACTGGGCCCTAACAGGTTAAACTTCCTGGCATCCTCCTGGTTTCATCCTGTCCTTCTGAGACCCTGCACTTCATCCTGACAGCCATATCCACCTCTCTTGGCAAGGTCCTATGGATGCTGATGTGTGGAAGACTCCTCACCTTTTCCCCTAAATCACTTTGCACACACCTGAAAACATTTAATGCCCTTTGATTTTTCTTTCTCTCAGCAAGAAGCGCAAGGCCACACCCCTTGTTATTCTTGTGGCAGGAAAGAACTTCACAACAGAGGCAAAAAAAGAAATCACAACCACATACAGCGTCGTATTTCACAGAAAACTGTGTACGTTGGTTCCCCATATAGGACATACTTCAAAGTAACAAAATAATCTTTTATCAACCGTAGTGTTCCTTCTTCCCACTCGAAGTAGATATATATATACATATATATATATATATATTTATATTTTTTTCCACTCGTGGTACATAAATATCAGAGAAAAATAGTCTTTGAAATATTTACGTCCAGGAGTCCTTGGCTGGCTATGAGTCATTCCGGGTGTGTTTTGGATTGTGCTTGGGGGGGGTCGATGCTCAATTTTCATTTTCTCTCCATCCACGAGCATTCTTCCCAAATTTATATACCAGCCTTCGTCCGTCCACCCGTTCCAGAATTTCTCGCTTGTAGTAATATCTGTAACCAAGGACACCCCATGAGGCAAGCCATTCAGACTAAGGCTGTCGGGGAGGGAACGGGTCCCCTGGCCCCATCAATTTGGGAGACAGGCAACTCCTCACCTCATGGCCCGGCTGAGCTTCTCGTAGGTCATGCTACTGTTGTTCTTCTTTTTGCCCCAGAGCTGAGCCACGGCCTCTGATTTCAAGAACCTGAAGATGCCCTCAGACCGGTCTTCCCACTTAATCAACCCCGGGTTCTTGTCTGGATTCAGGAGGATGTCGCGAATGAATTCCCATAAGTGAGTTCCCCTGGGGTCTGGGGGGGAGAAGAGAAGGGAGCTGAGGAATGGCCTCAAGGACATCACAGCACAAGGACAGCAGGAGGAACACTGGGTCCCACTGCCTCTTTTAAGCAGGAGAGACTCAATGCTCCCCAAAGGAAGGGTTACCCCACCACCAAATACTGGACATAAAAAATGAACAATGAGCTGGGTACAGGGGGCGCACGCCTATGATCCCAGCAACTTGGGAGGCTGAGGCAGGAGGACTGTAAATTCAAAGCCAGCCTCGGCAATTTAGCAAGGCCCTTAGCAACTCAGTGTCTCTAATAAAATATAAAAAAGGTTCTGGGGATGTGGCTCAGTGGTCGAGTGCCCAGGAGTTCAATCCTTGACACCCTCCCCCTGCAAAAAAAAATGAACAATGAACACATTTTTTTTTTTTTACAAATTGGGAAGCTGAGTCCCAGAAAATTTAAGCGAGTTGACTAAGGTCACACAGTCAACTATGGGCAAAGCCAAGGCTAAGAAATAGGTGTTAGGTCTCCTTGGCTGGGGGAATTTCTTCCAGTTTTGTACAGATGGCTTGGTCTTCACTTCAACTAGTCACTTCTTCCCCAGAAAGCGACTTCAACCTCTTATCTAGTACCTCTTCCAATTAAATGGCTCCACCCCAGGAACTGTGCTGCAGCCAAATGCAAAGCAGAGAAGGCTCCAGAATTTCAACTCTTAGAATATACTGGGGTCGGGGAATATGTTAGGTATTTTTCATGAAATACAAAATTAAATATAACAATATATATACAGGAGTTGGGGAGAGGGCTCTTGAAAATGAAGCAGCTACTGAAAGGAGATGAGCAACCAAATTCAGTTTTCCTCCCACTGGATTTGTGACACCTCCCCTCCCGTGTGCCATTGGAGGGACCACGTAAGACCATTCTTATGGCATGGCCTGGAATAGCAAATGGTAAAGAGACAGCGATTCCCTGTAAAAAAAAAAAAATATTCTATGATGTTCTTTTCTCCCTAAGCCCCCCTCAATTCTGTGTCTCTGATAGCTCACTGTGTTCATAAGGTTTTGTGATTGGGGGAAATCCAATTCCAAAGAGCAGTGTTACGTCTCCTGAATAATCAGCCTCTTCTCTTCGAACAATAACTCCACGAGGGCGGGTGTCAGCAGAGAAGGAGGCTACCTCTCAGCCATCTCTCCTCATCTTTTCCAGGGAGGGAGGGACATGGCTAACCCCTTGCCTGCAAGAAGTCCTTATTCCATGAATGTAGTTTTTAGAATAAAAAGTGGGGCTTGCAGGCCCCACTTTGAGGAGCACTGCACTGAGAGTGCTGAGCCAGTAAGTGGTGTCTGTTTTCTCTCTCAGCCCAGCTGGAGGTGAAGACACGGAGACAGCCGGGGGAGGCAATGTTTGCTAAGACCTAGTAGCTTCTGGTTAGTGCAATGAGAAGGGAAGGGCCAAGAGACCGGCCAGCACTCACTGTGCTTCTTGGTGTGGGACTTTGTAGGGTGCTCTGGCTCCTTCTTCATGTCAGGCGAGTCTGCGCGGGAGAAAAACGAGAGCTTTTGAGTTTACCTGTGTCTCCAGTTATCCTTTTCATTCATGCCTGTACTCAGTGAAACAGTATTGATGGAGCACCTCCTGCATGCCTTGCACCATTTGATTATATGGTAGCTAGTGAAACAGATGATAAACACTATGGAGGGAAATGATGCAGGCTAAGAAATGGGGCTAGAAGCATGGAGGTGGGAATCATTTGCACTTTCATATCAAGGAGGACACAGAAAACCTTTCTGGTTAAGGAACCCGAGGGATGTGAGGGAGATCCCCGTGCACAGAGCTTGTGGAGGAGCCTTCCATGGGCGAGTACGGGAAGTGCAAAAGTCCTGAGGCTGGTGTGCAAGAAGAAGGAAGACAGTGTGGCCGAGAGCAAAGAGGAGAGCAGCAGGAGCCGAGTTCCCGGTCATTAGTGTCTTTTTAGGACTTTTTAGGACTTTTAAAGAACTTTGTTCTGAGAGAAAATAGATTTAGGTCACTAGAAAGATTTTTTTTTCACATCATACAAAAATGTAAACATTCCTAACAAAGAAAAATGGCTTTTAAGCTAGAGGAGTGCCATTTTTTTTTTTTTTTTTTGGCGTGCAAAGTTACATTTTAATCACCCTGACAAAGGGGCCATTGAGTGGCCTGAACTCAGTACAGAGGGCCACCGTGGACTATGGAAACACAGGTTAGTTTAACCAGTGACTCATTATGGCAACTCTTCAATTGTCACCAAAGAGGAGGAGGCAGAGGCGGATCTATGAAGTAAAAATTCTCAGAAAAATAAATAAGACAGCCGATATTGCACGTTCTCTGTCATATGTAGACGTGGGAGGCAGAGGGTAGAATATTGACCACCAGCGTCTAGGAAGTGGGAAGGACAAGGACAAGGACAGACAGGGAGCAAGATGCAGTCAGGGAGGAGGGGATAGTTCCAGTGCCCCCCAGCACAGGGGGCTGACTTCAGTCCACAGCTATTGACGACCTATTTTATAAAGAACTCAAAGAGAAAGGTGGGATGTTTCCAAACACCAAGCAACGATCAAAGTTTAAGGAGAAGGGAATGCTGCTTACCCTGATTTGATATTGTACCTTGTGCACAGGCATCAAATTAGCATACGGTACCCAAGAAGTATGTTCAACCATCATGTCAATTAAAAAGAAAGTGAAAACCAAACGCTCAAGCTGTGTGTCTGTGTATGAGAACGAGAGAGACAGACTGACAGACAAGACAGACAGACAGGCAAAGAGACCTAAACACAAGTCAATCCTGGGCCAGAAAAGTCTCTTCAGTGCATATTTCATTTCTGGGCTTCCTAACCTAGGGTTCACTGACCCACATGAAGCCTTCAAGGTCATTCTGGACTAAAACCACACATAAAGGAAAGGAGCGCAGAGCATTCATTTCTTTGTCAGGAGTAATCTAGTGTTTGCTGGGTGCCATGGTGCACACCCATAATCCCAGCAGCTCAGGAGGCTGAGGCAGGAGAATCACCCTTTAGCGAGGCCCTAAGCAACTCAGTGAGACCCTGTCTCTAAATTAAATACAAAAACGGATGGAGATGTGGCTCAGTGGTTAAGCGTTCGTGGGTACAATCCCTGGTTAAAAAAAAAAAAAAAAGGGGCCCAGTATTCAAAAAGAGTTCATGAACTACCGACAAGCTCCTAATTAGAATGGTTAAAAGACAAGCGATAGTGTTTTGGGGTTCTTTCTTTCTACCAGTCACTGTCACTGTCACTGTACTAAGCACTTTATATGAATCACGTTACATGATTCTTACAGTAACTCTGAGTACTATTATGAGTACCCTGTGAGGCACTATCCTAGTCCAGAATTTACAGCTATGGAGGCTCTGAGAAACAGAGAGGTCAAATGTCGTGTGTGTAGTCACACAGCCTGAAAGCGGAGTCAGGCTGTGAACACAACAGATTGAATCCAGAGGTTTTACTCATAAGCACGGTTCTGAGCCATTTCCACAGATGACAACCTACTTTGGCACACAACAGATTTCTCAAAGTCTATCCTGCCAAGAGTCAGGTTCACTTTTACAACGCCTCTATTAGTTGAAAACATAATTCCAATCTGGGGATTCCGTATTTCCCAGGGCACACAGGCCCATTCATCTATCGGATCACCCGAGTTGTGAGGACCCAGTGCTCCCAGCAGGTTCTCCAAAATCCAGGGCACGACAGAGAACAGGGATTGAATAAGAGCGGAGAAGAAGAAAACCTTCTCGCTACAGTTAAGAACCTCTCTCCAGGTGTTGTCCCCAAGAGGGTCTGCCCCTGACTTGGGTTTCTCTGAAATCGAGAAAGATCAATTCTTGGGAAACACAAGAGACTTCCCTGTCCCTCCCTGCAGGCTGCGGGGCCAGGTTGCAACATCCCATCAGGATGTGACAACATTCAACAGGTCTGGCACCCACCCCGGTTTCCAAGTGATACATCACTCTGACAGGGCCACGTTGTCCTGTAGACAAAGAGTGGCATTTACCCAACAGGCCACAAGCAGAGCTCTCTTTCAAATGGCATCCAGGAGGGATGCAAGGCTATTATTTCAGAGCCAGAGTTGAACCCAGAAAAACCCAGGTGTCTCTCCGTGTACTCTCCTCAATCACTGTGAGTTACGACCTGACGCCCAATCAATCACTCAGGCCTAAGTTACCTTTATGAATAGGAAGACAACCCTGGACACTCTCCTCAGGAAAAAACAAAATATGCACAGACGTGTGTGTGCAGTTATGGAATTTGGTCAATCATTTCAGAGGTCGGCGGCCCTCTTCAGAGTTTGTGGACTCTAGATTAAAAAGCCCCAGGTGAGACAAACCACGAGGAAATTTTTCTGTTGGAGATGTCAGCCATGTACCCAGGCTAGGCCTCCATCCAGCTTAGGAAAAGATTAAAAAAGAAACAAACAAAAACCAATAAAAATGTTCATCCTCACAGGGATGACTGACATGAAGCCTTCGAGGTCATTCTGGACTCACAGGGAGGAATAAGCAGCCAAAGGCAAAAGAAAAATCGAATTTCTTCCAGTCCCCTCTTGCTGTTCCAATATGCAGGGGCCATGGGGGTTGGGGGGATCTCTGAGCCACCTCAGCACCCCCATCGTTTGATGTACCACCTCCATACAGCCAGCCTCTCCCCCTGGGTCCTCCCCAGTGGTGCAAAATAAAAGTCCAGGCCTTTGAAGTTAGCCATGTGGTGAAGTGATTCATGGTCATAAAATAAGGGCTTGCTCTGGGGAGGCTGTCCGGCCCGGCTTTCTCTGGGCTCCCCTCCCAGGCACTCCGGGGCAAGGTCCGCCGGGTCCAGGCAGGGGCAGCCACCAGCCACCCGTTTACCATGCCAGTGTGAGAACATGACTTCAGCTTCGCTGCTTCGCAAGAAGCAGAGATTAGGGGCATTTGCATATGATTCAGCGGTGAGCCATTTCTTTACGGGATATACAAATTTCAGCGTTCTAATAGACCGTGCCACCCTAGCTCCAGGCTCGACAAGTCAGTAGATAAACACATCAAGCCCGGGGTTGGCATGGCTGGCTGCAGGATTATCGGGCGGATCAGAACACTGGCGGCGGCCATTTTATGAAATGGCAGATGACAGAGAGATCAAAACAAAGCTCGCTTGCTTCCCCACCTGCCTTTATCACAGAGGCCATCAGTTTACAGGGAGCCTCGCCTGGGCTCAGCTGGTAACTTGCATTCAGACACAGGGAGATCTACAGCTGCACTGGAGGGCATGGGAGCTGGAAAGATACAGACTCTGCCCATGGCAGAGGTCTTAGGGTTGGTGGGGGAGGCGGGGGGCGGTTCTGGATCCATCCAGCAGAGACCAAACTCTTCGGAAAGAACTGATCTGTGCAAAATTGGGCTCAATAATCCACTTGGAGGGTTATTCTTCCCAAGGGTGCCAGCTGCAGACACTGAATGGATTCTTTAGGTAGTAATTCGGGGAGAGAGGTTTTTGTCTGTTCATCTCATTGTCTAGCCTGTTATAACAGCAGATTGGGGGGAGGCGGGGCTGGGGACAGGGATCAGGGAGGTGGGGGAGAGCAGATTCAAAAAGCCCGTTTTAAGAAGGAGTATCCAAAAATATAACAGGTGGCTCAGGAGGTGGCACATTTCCTATCCCAGCAAAAGTGCAGACACAAACTGGCCCCCAGCCCCTGTTGGCTCTGAGGTTCTAGAAGCAGAGAGCAGAGTCACAAAAGGGGAAGGAGGACAGGGCTCCGAGGCAGCAGAGCCGAGATTGTGGCTCTCAGGTTCCCCAGAAGCCCTGCGACCTGACAACCCCTGAGGCGTGGGAAGTGGCTGGTTCAACTTTATTCTTAGTTGGAATCTCTCGCCTTAAGTCCAAGACCCAGCCGGAAGGACGTGGAAGGTGACACCTTGGGAAGCTTGAGAGGAAACCCAAGGGTGGCTGGGGTGGTGTCCTCAGCCTGAAGCCCTTCGTCTTGACTGGGTGGCAGCGATTGCCACAGCAGGACTGCACCCCCACGGGCTGCTCCTCCAGAGGGGCACAGGCGCTGCCCGCCTTCCCGTGTTCGCCCTGACTTCCTAATTTCAACAAATAACTTCGAGTGACACATAATGCTAAGGGCTGTTGGAGGGAGAGGAAGTAGAGAGACGAATTGGCTTCGGTTCTCAACCTCAATTCCAGAAGCATTTATACTGGCTCCCGGCCCCGTCTCATTCAAGGGGTTTGACCCGAACAAAACCTCAGACCAAAAGCTTTCGTTATTTCAGTTCTCAAAAAATACACACTCAACCAAAGAAGGGGGGAAAAAAAAGAGTAAGGTTTGTCGTTTAATTTCATGCTTTCTTTCACAAAGCAACTAAATATCCCAGTCATGAAGTTAACCCAGATTCAGTTCTTGCAGGAGGGCACTTCCATGTCCAAACTCTATTTTATAGACCCAAAGATATGCAGAAGCTTGTCCCCAGGTCAAGGGACAGCAAAAAATCTTTTATTCAACTAATTCATACTCTATCCATGCTAATGTACCTCTATATGAGGGGGTGTCATCTGAAAGCCCTTCTTCCAGAATCCCCACATGCCAACCTCTCACTTGGTGTGCCTTGTCTAAGAGTCATAGATAAACCCCATTGCACCCAATCTTAACCAAATGCAACCAATGTGAACATAATCGACAGGGCTCTGACATATCACAGAGAACCGCAGGGTGAAACTAAAAAAACTGAGAAAAACGCATGATCATTGGGATTCTGGAAATTTCCAATGCCTCCTCCTCCACACAGAGACCACCACCACAAATTCAAAGGACTCTGGATTCCCTGGTTAGATATTCTTCCCCTAAAGCCAGCTGCAGTTTGAAACGAATGTTCAAATGTAGTTGAGAATTAATCATAGCCTTCTCTCTCATCAATAATTTTATTAGATATATCCCCAGAGCAGATTTATGTTAAAAAAAGGAGGAAAGCATGAACAACTTTTGTTGTCCTATGAGTGACAAACATTTTTCCTATAGGAATCCCTACTGGTCCTCTTCAGTGCATGTAAATTGCCTCAAAAGCAGATCTGCTTTTATAAAAGCCCACTCAATTCCTTTCTCAGCCTTTTCATGAGCAAGATTCCAGCAAAATGGAAATGGAGGATGTTGGTCATTCTCACTAATTCTCTGTTAGCCCTTGCATGTCTAGCCTCCGATGTCAGGAGAACTTACCAACAGGAAGGTGACCGGTGGTTGTCATGGAGATCTGGGCCCTGCAGAAAGTTTTGCTGTCCAACAAGTCTGCAGCAATGAAAAAATCAAGGGCATTAATACCCGCCTTCTTGTAACACCACACAGTGTGTGGCCACTGGACCATCAAACTAAGAATGTCAAAGGGCCTTCCGTGTTGGGGAGTTAGTTACCTACTGTGCTACCATAGTTGGTGTCGTATAAATAGTTTTCTTCTTTCCAGGTGTTCATGATGGAAGGGTCTAGAAAGAATAGAAAATGGGGGAAGGTCAACAACCCTTATTCCCAGGGTGAAGAACCTACCCCTTCCAAGTCACTGCCCTTCAGAGGGAAGAAGGGTGTCCCCCCAAGAAAAAGGCAACAGTGTGCTTCAGCTAAACATCACTTTTTAAATGACGCCATCCCACAGTTCATCGGGCGCCAGGTGGGAACAACCTGGCTAGGGTGCCCTCCGGGTGATCCACACCTGCCACAGTGGAATCCTGTCCTTGACCAATGCTCTGATTTCCTAAGACTGTTTCCAGCCTCCCCTGGCTTAGTCTTACACTCTACTATATAATCCCCAGAATATTTTTACCCTGGGGAGGAGGGAAAGCCTGGTTCGGGACAAATAAATGTATAATCAGTGAGCAGTGAGCTCATTTTTTTTCCTATGGATATCTTCCTGGGTGAATGTGTCTTTCAGCCTTATCAGGGTCTCTTGATGACTAAAAGCCAGAGAGAATCCCCTTCCCATTAGGGGTCAACCGGCTTCCTTTAGGTCTCTCCAGTTAACTTAAGTGGAGAAGGGAAAAAATGTATCGCCAAATTGAACAAACAACTTGTAAGAGTAGAAAGGAGGGCTGCTCAGCAACCCGTCCTTCTCCGGCACGCCGGGGAGGCACATCTTTCTCTGACTCTTCTCCAGAGTTCCGATTTGAAGGAAACTCCTCTCTCTCCTTGCCCCAAACGAAGCCCAGCTCCCACCCAGCCCCCATAACCGGGCTGGTCTCCAACACGGGCATTTCCTTTCCGAGTTGGTCAAGAGCATCAAGATTTTTCCCCTTATTCTCCCCCGCCCCACCCAAGTTTCCTGATTTCCTTTCCCTGCCTGTGCAGGCTGCCCTCCACTCCCCTCCTGGCCAGGTTCTGAGTTGTAGGGCCGGGGTGGTAAGCCACTGGCCGAGATTCATGTTGTTTTTATAGCATAAATGGTATAAAACCTGACTCACTGGCTAAGTCCTCCTGTTTACGACATAGGGATTTAGCTGGTGTTTGAACTAATAGCTACGTGTTTGGGCACCCCAAGCCCAATCTCTTGGGGTTACACCCTCTCTCCTTGTTGGGTCACCTCATACACCTGTTGTTGTCTCTCTAAACAAAATGAACCAAAGAGGTTTGGGGGTGTTGGCCCCTCCAGGAGCCTCTCATCCCCTCCTCCCAGGGTGGACCTTCTCCACCCTTCAGCTCAGCTCTTCTGAACTGGCAGCACCAGAATGGCTGGGTGGCCAGGGAGGGGTGGCCAAGCTCTCGGGACGTCTCCAATATCACCCTGTCTCCTCTAGAGGGGTCATCGGTAAGGTCGAGTGTATTTGCAAGGGATCTTCTTAGCCACGCCCTGCGTCATCTCTGGGGGCTAGGGCAGACCTATAAAGCACAGGCCATTCGGGAACCCCTCCCCCAGTCTGTAGAGGGAGGGCAGGGCTAAGGAGGCCTAATTAACATGCTTAGCAGCTATTGTTTTTTTTTCTTTAATAATGGTAGACCAGTCCCCTTATAAAAGAGTCAATAACTGCATGGGCTAATTTTGGTGCCAAGTGACTCACAAATCACCCCCAGGTCAAATTCTGTCCTTGGTGACTAGCACGCAACCCTCGGGGAGGCCTGTGTCAAACCTGGTCAGCCCACGTGGCTCGCAATCTCCCCGATGTGGACATAGGGAGTGACCTGGGAGCCGTGGCACCTGCACTGTTTTATCATGGTGGCAGACTGTGGGGAAAGCTCTGGGAGAGAGATTTAGGACAGAGGAAAGGGGACAAAAATGAACATGGATATTAAAGGACTGTAGACTCTGCTCAGAGCCCAGGGCATCTCTCCTGTGAAAATGTCCTTAAGGCAGGAGCTGGGCTCCACAGTGCCTTTGGCCGTCCCCAGGGAAGCTCCCTAGGGCCAGAAACTACACTAACCACAATGCCAACTCAGCATCCCCCCCACCCTTCCTGGTGAACAGACTCCCATTTAGGGAGGAGGGGGAGAAGAGGAGACATTGACCCTTCCTCTTTCCTCGCCTTGCTTTTCTGAACTTTCCAAGTCTAATCCCCTTACTCTTTTTCTGGGGAGGAAGCCCATCTTAGAATCTGCCCTCTCCCAGCTACCAGGCTGACCTGCAGTAGGAAGCAGAGAAGTCTGGGCAGAAAGTGGGTGATCGCTGGTCCCCCCGGCAGAGATATGAGGCTCCTGGAAGGGTGGTCCACTGGAGACAGGCAGGAGAGTGGCCTCTCTGGGTCTCCTGCCTACACCTCCTCCCATGCTCTCTCCGGTGTTCCCTCCCCATTTTTCTTCCCAGGGCTTTGTCTAGCCAACCTGGCTCCCCGAATCTCCTGCCACTCACCCGTCTGTTCAGTCTTGACAATGACATTGTGTGTGGACTGGAACAGGTCACTGCTGCACTGGCCTGTGAAGGACAGAATGGGAAAGTCAGAGGGGACCCAGATGAAGCCAAAATTTGATGCTTAAATAAAGACGGGCTGGCTTCTCTGAAGAGCTTCTGCCATTTTCTTGCCTGACCACCTAGGTTTGCTCATGGTAGGGGGCTTCCCTCTCGGCCTCTACACATTCCAGTCTGGAGTCTGTCCCTAGCCCCACAAATCATCAGCCTAGGTCACCCATTATCTAATGGAATTATTTGGCATTGTAGACAGAAGGCATCTAGTATGGTGGACCTGGTTTTCAGAAGTAGCAGACCAGTTTTTCCATTCCCAGGTGGAAGGCATTCATTTCTTTTGGTCTCAGTTTTCTCATCATGAATTTAGGGAATTTTACTAGATAGAGTACCTAGATGACCGACCTCTAAGACATTTTCCCATATTAAGATATGACATGAAATGGAAAGGAGAATATAGGCCAAGTCATTTTGATTTAACCAGCTTGATTCTTCTTTGATCTTAGATCCAACCTAGGAGATACATCTGGATAAAATGCAGTAAATCTTCCCTTGTTTGTGCCTTCAGCATGTGGACAAGTGGTGCCCACCACCTAGTCCTGTGTTTGCTTGAAACCCCTCTCAAGCTACATGGTACATAAAAACACATGTACATGCAAATGAATCTAGAATTTTTCTCCTCTCCTGATAGATTATGACTATTTCAAGCCTCTAACCTCTCTGACCTTCAGATTTCCCATCTAAAATATGGCTACAATATTTAGTTTGTCCTAAAGTCATTCAATGAGTGCATAATATAAACAAATACTCAATAAATGTAAGTAAGTAAAACATCTGCAAAAAAGCACACAACAATACAAGGGGGAGACATCTGTCCATTAGGCTCTCAGAGGTGACAGCAGCCTGCGGGAGACCAAGCAAGTCACAGAAGGTCACAGACGGAAGGTCAAAGGTGGCCACAACACCTCCCAGGTCTCCCTGCCTCAGGCTTCAATCAGAGCAAAGCTTTAAAGGAGTGGACTTAATTGGAGGTGGGGAGGTAAATATTTTTAATTCTTCAATTATAAGCCTGCTCTTTCTGAAGACTCCTGGGGGTTATTTATAGAGCCTTGTTTGGTTTGATTCTAGTAAAAAAAAAACATGAGCAACCAGCGCCATGAGGTGGGTGAGAAGAAGGGAGTGCCAGGGCCCGGGATGAGGTCATCCGCAATGGCCGCCCCAGCTGCCAGCCGCACAGCTGGACTCGGGCTGCGCTCAGTGTGGATGGCAGCTGTCAGGGTCTGACTCTGCCTCAAGTTCTGGAACTCACATTTCCTGAGCCCTAATAACTTGCAAATACAGGTTCTCCTAAGACATAAGTGCTCTTTCCCGTGTGGACGGGCCAGACCACTAGCTTTTAATAATCAATGCAACATGTCCCAGTTCTCAGACGGGCCGGTTTTTTACAGCCACTATTAGAAGAACCTCATGCCAGTGTCAAAGCATTCTGCAAGAGGAGTTGTCTGCCCTGCTGGGTCTTACAAGTCAGTGTAGAATATGCGTGTGTGGACAAGCCACCACCAGTGGGTAACTTTTGGAGTGGTGGCCTCTCGGTGCGCAAGATGACATTGGGAGAGGCGCTTGAGGCTGTAAGGCAGCATCACTGCAGAAATAATTCATTCTAACTTTTTTTCATTCCTTTTTTTTTCTTTTATGTTACAGAATTTTTAAGAATCTGCTGAAATACAGTGAAACTTCTCTCCTCCCAAACATGCAGACCTAATTTCATATATCTTCTTACTATTCTAGGCCTCTATTTTAAGAACCCAAGTAAAAGGGTTTTTGTTTCTTTGTTTGTTAAGTAATCTTGATCATCTTTAACAAGCAAAGAGTTGGTAATTAAACTCCTGACCTCTGTTAAAAAAAAGGTAAAAGAAAAGTTTGTCTAGGGGTAGTAAGTATTCCATGAGCACCCAGCCAACCCTTGTCTCCCTGAAAATTAATATAAGGAGAGAATTAAATTACATCATGTTTAGAAGGGATTAGACATGATTTGTACCCTAGGCTTCACTCCTGTCCTCTCACCTCCCTTCTAATTCTCTGTCTTGGGAAATGACAGTTTGGAGGCGAGACCATGCTTTGTTGTCTCTGCAAGAGCCCAGCCAGCCGCAGAGCCCCTGCGCTTCCCAGCTGCCTCCCAGCAGGGTAGGGAGAGAGGTAGTCACCGTTCCATTTGAGATGCTGCAGGTTGCTGTAGAGCAGCTGCCCCGCGGTGCCCGCCGCCCGGGTGAACTCCTGCAGGCTCATGCTGCAGAGGTGCTCTCCATTGATGTCGAACTCCTGGAACGGGATGCAACTGGCGTCCAGCTGGTTGGTGTCCAGCAGGTGCTGAAGCCACTCCCACACCTGGTACTTGGTCCAGTACTGAGGATGGATTTCATGCCACTGGCTTCCGAAAAACCCACTGGATACTGAAAAACAAGAGGTGGCCCTGTGAGTGGCCCCTGGTTGCTCCTGGACACAGGCTCAGACACAGGGATGCTGGCTGGCAGATGTCTTGGGAACATGACCCAAGACCTTGTGCCTCAGCGAGGGCTTCGGAACATGCAATGCACTCTGCACAGGAGGCTTGAAAAATGTGGTTCCTCCCAACTGTGGTGGGGCCATCATTTAGCCTCTGTGACTTCATGTAGATAAGAATATGAGACCTCAAATGCTCTGAGCTCACTCCTCACCCACCCCAAAAATGCTACAAAAGTTTAAACATTGCTATAGTCTCAGCAACTTATTAGCGTATTATCCACACACTTCTGTCTCTCTGTGTCCCTGGGAAATTGGTGCCTGGGTTCCTAATGGATACTCAAATCCCTCATATAAAATGCTATGATATCTGCAGATAACCTACACAATTCCTCCCACATACTTTAAGTCATCTCTAGATTACTTAGAATCCATCATACAACATAAATACTGCATAAATAACTGCTATAGTATGATTCCCAGGAAACGAGGAGAAGAAGACAAGTCTGTATATATTCAGTAAAGACACATTTTTAATCTAAGGTTAGTTGAATCTGCAAATGCAGAACCCTCAGACTTAGAGGGTCGACTATAGTCCCCCCACCTTTTTTCTCTTTTTTTAAATATTTATTTATTTATTAGTTTTCGGTGCACACAACATCTTTGTTTGTATGTGGTGCTGAGGATCAAACCCGGGCCGCACGCATGCCAGGGGAGCGCGCTACCGTTTGAGCCACATCCCCTTTTTTCTCTTACATACATTCCTACAGGCGTGTACAAATACACCTCCAATCCCAGACCATTTTAAACCAACAATGAAGCTGGAAGTTAAGGTTCTTTTCTCTATGATGCCTTTGCTTCTCCCACAAGTGGTCCCCATCATTTATCTGCTAATGTGCTGACATCTTTATTGCCACCCACTGGTTACAGTAGCTGCTGTCATGTTACTTCCCTGCTCGGTTACCCTCAATTACCTCCAGTTTCCACCGTAAAAAACTAGCAAGCCAGGTGTTGAGGGTCTTCACTACTTTTCAAGCGACCTTTGACTTTCATCCTTTTTCTGTACCATTCTTTCAATCCCCTTTGCATTCTACTCTTATTCCTGTTGGATTCCCATCTTTGAAACTCTGATCCATCAGTGTTTCACAAAGCCATCAGTGTCCCTGCAAGTTGCTTCAGGGGCTCATTGTCCTCTGGGCCTCCAGGAGACATGCTTGGTATTTCACTAAATGGCATCTGTCACGTTCTGCTTTTCTTCATAGTTCTCTAAGTACTATCTTCGTCCTCTTTGTAAATTGTACGCCTCTCCCCAATTCATATCTCCTATGAAAACTGCCTCAGACCCTTTTCCATAGAAAATGTTCACTATATATTTATTCAGTAGGATTTTTGCCAGAAGAAGAAATAATGCAGGAATTGGAAGCATTGTCAGGTACAGGTAAAGATGACTAGTTCAGACACAGTGAAGCAGTGAAGTTCATTCAGGTCAATAAATATGGCTGAGCCTGTCGTGTGCTAAACATCTAGGTATGTGACTCTGTCCTGCTCATTTAAGAGAACACCACATAGTTGACCCAAAGTTATTGGGGGTTGGAGAACAGAGAGCCAGCTCTGGGGCCATGTTACAGGGCTGAGAGATCGTATAGTCCTCTTGAAAATGGAGGCCAAGAGGAGGCTATCTCTTCCAAGAAAAGCAAGGAAGGGCAGGAACCAGGGAAAGATGCTATTACATCTCTCCAAGCTGAAAAAAGAAAAATCCAACTGATCATGACACAAACTCAAGACATGAACTAATAGGGGGAAAATGCATTTGTAAGGAAACTGCCTCTAACTGTTCCTTCAAAGCCATGCGGGTCAATCCTTCTCACTTTTTTTTTTGTTTGTTTGTTTGTTACTGGGGATTGAACTCAGGACACTTGGCCACTGAGCCACATCCCCAGTCCTATTGCATTTTATTTACAGACAGGGTCTCACTGAGTTGCTTAGCACCTCACTTTTGCTGAGACTGGCTTTGAACTCAGGATCCTCCTGCCTCAGCCTCCCCAGCTGTTGGGATTACAGGTGTGGGCCACTGCACCTGGCCTTTCTCAAAATTTAATGTGATCATGAATCATGGGGAATTCTGCTCAAATGCAGATTCTCATTCAGTCTATCTGGGGTAAGGCCTGAGTTTCTGCATCTCAACAAACTTCCCCATGCTGCTGCTGCTGCTGCTGGTCTGTATAGTGACAAAGTGACACAGTGCTCCAAAAGGCTTGATCTCCGTAACACCCATGGCCTACCCCCAGCACCCCCCAGAGGACAAACTGAAGGGGGGATGTTCCAACTCAATCCCACTTTTTTTCCTCATCCTGCTCAGAATGCATTCTCTGTTTTCTGACCTCAGAAGCAACAAGAGCAGAAGGTCAAGATCATTTAGGGCACAAGGTAACTGCCATTGATAATACCTGCCACCTGCAAGATGAGCTTCACTCCTCGTGCTTCTCAGCCAAACAAATGCAGAGCTTGACCCTCAGCTTGGGCCCTAAACAGGAGGCCAACCGTGGGGGTAAGAGTGAAGATGGGAAAAAATCTAGTCCAAAAATCTGGTTGTATAGAACTCTTCCCAAATGTACAAAAACAGAGAATTTAGATCAAATGTTTCCATGTTCCCCAATTATTTTAGTGTCTCACAAACTCAATTGTTTAAGATAGGATATATATTTTTTTGTAGTCTCTAAATGTATGATATTTTTCCCCCTAAAATAATTGTGTGGCTATCACAGCACAAGACTGGATTTGCCAACAAAGGTAACAATTTTCAATCACCCAATGACAGACCTGGAATAATCTCTTCTGCAAACTTAATAGGGTCTAGTGTAAAGAAGAGAGGCTAAAATTGCATCCTGTTCAAACTTGAGAGAATCCAAGAATTTTGTCTGAAGTTGTCTGGGAAGATACATAGACAACCAGAGAATTCATCAGAAAATCCAATGAGTTCTCATCTTCCCTGTCACTCAGCTGTCTCCTTCTTCCTCTCTCTTTCAGTCCCCTTTGGAATCTCTGGAGTTTAAGAAATAAAAGCAATCCCCAAATTCTACACCCTGTTCAAACATTGCTCTAGTTTTCTCCCAAGCAAAAACGGGAGGACATTCTGTCCTAATCAAGGATCCAGGGACCTGGAGATGTCATATTTGGGACCTTTCTTCCAGGTCCCCACAGGGGATCTAAAACCTGCAACAGAAAAAAAGTATCACTGCTAGGAAAGGCAGCATTTTGGTGGGACTAGCCATCAAACCACCTGTTCGTGCTTTCTAACATGTTTGGCTGGGATTCCAAATTAAAAGAGGTGCAGCTCCACATGGACCAGCTGCTTCTGAGAGACTGTCACCCCCTCCCCATTACCTTCCCACTCCCGCTTCTCAGACTACGCTTTACGGACAGGCTCTGTCCATGTTCCAAGGCAAACCAGCCGCAGAGCCTCTGGTGGGGAGATTAGCAACAGGTATGGGGTGGGCTAAGCCCCAGAGCCTCATAAGTCCAGTACCACTGGCTGCCCCATGGCCTGCCTCAACTGAACGCCCGTACTGCAGGATGTGAGGTCTTTCATTCAGCAGGTATGTTCTGTCCAGATTCCACCGTAAGCCACAGGCTTGACCACCACACCCTCTACCAGCCTAACCATCAGGTTCTCCCTCTGTCAATCAATGTGTGCTAGACTAAATCACTAAAGGAGAGCACCTGGTTCCTAAGCAATTTCTCTCCCCTTAATCAGCGAGGCCACTGGAAGGTGAACTAAAAGACAAACTGCTATAATCCCCTCTTCCCTAACCTCCATGCTTCCCACCCCCCCCCAAAAACACACACTTCCCCATTCCTGTCTTGCTATCCCAACCAAACACTGTTGAACTTCCACAAGGAGTCTTCCCTTTGGGCAGTTCTGCTAGCACCAACACTGCCAGGCTGCCAACCTGGAACCCTGCATTCTGGGAGGAGACAGTGGAATATCTCAAATGGGCTTTTGTCTGGAGCTCTGAGAACCGACAGAGAACAGCAGCATTAAGAGTTTTCTCAGAGCTGGGGATAGGAGAGTGCAAGCTTAGCATGCAGAAGGGCCTGGATTCCATCCCCAATACATCACACACAAAAAGAGTTTTCTCCATTCCTTCTGTTCCCCATGGCCTCTGCTGAACGAAATCTGCAGTTTTCAAATATCAGGTTGGGGAATTCAAGCAAAAGGAGAATGCCCTTGAGCAGTGACCCCCAAACCCACATGGCCCCTTACCATTGCACGTGGGGTAGCTGTCTGTCCAGGTCGGCTGCTGGTGGAGGAGGCTATTGCTGGGGTTGAGATTCATTACACCACTTCCTTCCAGAATCATGATCTGTAAGGGGAGCAGAGAGCCCATTCAGACAGTGACTCTTGGACAAATGTCATCGGAGGGTGCCAATCAGAGAGTTAATTTAGGAAGAAAAAGAGAAAAAGGAAAGAATGTGGAATGTGTCCTCCCATTGCCACAGCCCTTTCCATAAAAGCAAAACTCATGGCAATTAAAAATTTCCAGGTTCAATTTTCATATGCATGAGGCAAGTTTTTACAGCCACCCATTCATAAATGAATAATCTCTGATCAGGAATGAAACAGGAGGAAAAGCAATACCTGCTCCCAGGGCAAGTCTGGACAGCATCCAAGGTTTTTTTTTTGTTGTTTTTTGTTTTTTTTTTTAAGAGTGAAAATTCTCCAAAAGAGCATTAAGAGATTTTATTTATTTAAAGCTGAATTTCAATCGGTGAAATTTCAGACCCAGCATCTATGCAGGAACTCTGTCTGAAACCGGACATTCGCAGGTCCCCACACACCTAAGCAGCCTGCCCCTGGGGACCCAGGAATGTTCATTGCCTTAGTACAGATACCTGCTGAGGGATTGGCTAGTGGTCCAAGGGCCTCCGTCATATTTTAGTAGAGCTCCTTAAATATTTTGCCTTTGAGATAATATCGGAAATCATTTGGTTTATCTAACAGGTACAGCCCATTTCTGGTAAAGAACATTATTTTTTCCCCCCTCTCTCTGGTAGAAGTTCTGACTTGCTCTTCTCCTCCTGTTAGAGATCTGGAGAATTCAACAGGCTTTCAAGCTGACCTCCGGGTGACTTCCTAAGCCCATGGAATCATTTTCTCAGTTAAAGGACCCAGGAAAAGAGCTTTCCTCCATGGGCCTTTAAACCAGGTAAGAATTTTATACTTTAAAAATATTTCCTTCAATTGTCCTGCATTTGTGACATCCCTACCCCAAAGTTGGGCACCCTCCCCATCACAGACCAAAGCCCCAGGGTGTGTGCAATCATTCAAAGGAAGAGCAGGCTGTTTCCAGAAAGTTATTAAGCACTCCCAGAGGCTGTAAAAGTCACTTGCTCTTTAGAAAACGTTGAGGTGGGGACAGGAGTTGATTACTTCACATCATGGAAATGTTTCTGATGGTTTGGGGGAAACTTTGCATCCTCAGATTGGAGTGGTGGACCCAGGGACATTCCAGCCTTGCCATCCCCAGGCCCCAACTGAACTTCACTCCTCTGCTTTGATGGAGGGCCTGCGGGGGGAGGGGGATAGAAAAGGGGCCTGGACAAAGCAGAAAGATGTATTCATGTATTCATTGATTCAACAAATATTTATCAAATCAGTGAAGAGCTGGGCACTCACTGTCCTAGGCACCAGGGACAGAGCAGTGATTAAGGGTTGAACTAGGCTGCACGCAAACACTTGTGATGATTATTAGCATCATCATCTTTGTTACTTGATAAATAAATAGGCTTGAATCCAGCCTAAGTGGAAGGTGGAGACAGAAAGATAAGCCAGGAATGATGGGTATTGTAATTCAAAGGGACCACTGGTAGGAAGACCAGGGGAGCTGGCTTCTACATCTGAGAAGAGTTTTGAGTCAACCCAGGAGATGTGGAGTTGATTCCACCTCTCCCTCCTACTAGCTCATATTAGCACTACTTCACACAAATTTCCTAACTTCCCTGAACCCCAGTTTCCTCATAGGTAAAGTGCAGATGATCCTATCTAACCTGGACATTGGTTGGAGAACAAATGAGTTTCTGTACCTCAAGCACTTGGCACAGAAGTAGGCCACTATTAAGTAGGACAGGTGTTATGATGCGGAGAGTCACTGCCTCTCTGCATAACCTGAACCAGAAACAACGCTGGGCCTGTTTCCCCATCTGGAAATTTCAAGAAGATGACTACACCAATTCTTCTTTCTAGAAAACTCTTTGATGCTCACCTTCAGAGAAAGAAAACCAACTCAGGCCAAACCTTCCTCTTTCTTTTTCTTTTTTTCTTCTTCTTCTTCTTCTTCTTCTTCTTCTTCTTTTTTTTTTTTTTACAATAACTGAGCATTTTCTCACCCAACTTTCTAGACCAATTGCCCTAAAGGTGAAAAAATCAGTCTGGGGACTTCAAGTCAAAAGAAAACCTTCAAGTCCCCAGAAGCAGTGGCTGGGGGTAGGGAGGGAGGGGCACAGGGCCCTGGCTTTGTTTGCTCAAGGCTGGGCTTACTCCTTGGCAGCATTTGCTCAACCACAAGCAGCAGAAAGGTTACTGTTTAACCCTGAAAGAGCCGGAGCTCCCAGCCCAGCCCATTTGCAGGGATCCATTGGCCTTCCAGGTCGGGGGAGACTTCCCTGAAATTCTTTCACGAGGATTCACCTGCAGGGCCGTTTCCAAGTGGCCATTTCAGCAGAAGCAAGACCTACCCAGGTCATCTGTGAGCCACGTCCTCAGCCAGCTCAGGGTATATTCACTGCTTCCTAACCAGCAGAAGGCAGGCTGTATAGGGGGCAAAGCAACCTGGCAACAGCTACAGAGTCAGGAGAGGCAGGCTCAGAATCCAGGCCCCTGCTAACTACAGAGGACCCTGTGTTCCAATCTGTCTAGCCCAAAACCTTCTGATCCTCACTTTTCCTTCCTGAAAAGTGGGAACACTACTATATTCAAAATCTAACCAGACAAGCACACAAGTTGGTTATGTAGAGAACTTGTCAGGTAATTAAAAAAAAAAAAAGAATTACCATGTGTCTCAAGTCAGTACTCAGCTTCTAGCCTGATGCCCACAGGCTCCTGTCTTCAGAGTAGGTGACATTTCTCACCATAAGCTTCTGGAAGCATCCAGAACTACACCTACCTCACAGAAAAGCCTTCAGGACCCTAGGGTCAGAGCTGCTCCGTTGCCACCCCCACCCCCAAGGCTGACTGAACTGTGGGCACAGATCCTGCTCCATCCCAGCACCCCCTTTCCAAGGGAAAGCAGCAGCGTGGTGAGGGGCCCTGTTTTACAGGGCACTTTAAATGGTTACCACTCATAAAAGAGTTTATGTGGCTTAACCCTCAGTGAGTCAGGGTTCACTTGAGCTCCCCCAGGCTTGTGAGCAAAGAAGGTCAGCATCTGCAACCCAGCAAGGAACTGCAGGCAGCGCCCTCAGGGTGGGCTGGTTCCACCGAGGACCTTGGCCCAGTCTTACCCCCCTCCGAGGCCCAGTTTTTCCAGGTATAAAATGAGGATATGTGTCCTCCAACAGCCTCCCAGGACGGTTGAGGAGATCAAATGAGATAATGGACAATAAATGTTCCTTGAGAACTGTAAAAAAAAAAAAGTCCCATTATCCCCAACACCCCCACACCCTATATACCTCTCCAGACTTTCTGTGGTGTGCAGTGAGTACTTTATGGGATATAAAAGGCAACCCTTTTAATTAAAAAGCAGGAGGGTTATTTAATGCTCTATTTTCAGGTCCCCACTTTGCCATCAGCACAGCTTTCCTTATTTCCCTAAAAGATGGATCAAATATGTACAGTGGGGCCTGGAATCTAAGAGACCCATCCAGGTGCCATCTTGCAGCCATGTGACCCAAGCATGTTAACCTTTCTGAGCCTCAGTTTCCTCACAGATTTAAAGAGAGGAGGGTGAGGGGTAGTAACGCTGATTTCCTTTAAGGCTAAGGGTTGTTTCGAAGGATAAATAATAGAGTGGGTTTAAAGTCCGGAGCCTGGTCCCCAATAAAAGTCTCTTTTCTTTCCTTAAATGGTAGTTCTCACAGTGCTCCTTTAACATATCCTCCTTCTTTTAGGACTGGGTCCTTAATTCAGAGCCTAAGGAAGAACAAGTGCTCCTGCATGTCACCAGGGAGCTGGGGAAGGACTCATTTCTCTCCATCCTCAACCAGAAGTGGGAAGCCAGGGACTGGGGGGACCCTCACCCATACCAGGAAGTGGTTAAAAGCCAAGTTTCTCAATGTCTCCACGACTAAAATTGGAGACTCAATTATTCTTTAAAAAAAACATTTTTAATTAACACAGAACATTTGTACCTGTGTATGGGGTACATATAATGTAATAATTTAATGCATGTACACAATGTGTGATGATCAAATCAGGGTAATTAGCATTTCCATTTTACCCCGCTGTGCTTCAAAACACTAGGGCCAGTTCCTCCTAGCTAACTGCATGTGGGTGTTTCTCTTCTCCAGCCCCTTGTCTCCCCACCTTCCCAGCCTCCCCTGACCACCATCCTGCTCTACATCTTTAACTTCCACAACTGACTGAGAGCATGGAGTATCTGCCTGTCTTATTTCACTTAAAACAGTTCCATCCACATTGCCACAAACAACAGGATGTTTCATTCATTTTTCTGGCCGAATAGCCTTCCATCATGGATATAAGCCACATTTTCCTCATCCATTCATCCGTCAATGGATAGCTCTGTTGATCTCATATCTTGGCTGTTGTAACATGCGAGGCTCAGTAAACATGGGAGGGCAGTTGGGGATGGGAAAGTCTTTTGCTCTGGAGGTGGGTGCATCCTGGGGTGCTCCACCGCATCCACAGCCCACACCCACTACCTGCCAGTAGCACCTCTCTCCTCAGAGGTCCCCTGGAGAAAAACCACCCCAGGTTGAGAACAGGGATTAAAACCCAAGTCGATGGAGGCAGACACCTTGGGCTTTGCTCCTATGATGTGGCCGCCTTGGGCTGACTCGTAGCCTTCCTAAGCTGCTATTTCCTCTCCTGGAAACAGATGGCATTAGTCCCTGCCACGGAGACTTGCTGAGGATTAAACAAGGCCTTAGAGTCCGCACACAGCCTGGTGCCTGGTGCACAGAGAGCGATTGCCTAACCAGTGGAGGTTTCAGAAAATATACTGGGTATCGACCTCTGTTGATCCCCAGGTAGTATGTACTCTAGAAATAGAGTATAAATTATTAGTTGGGTATTAATGATCGCACATAAATAAACTAAATTTTATTTCAAAACCAAAGGGCCAAAGCAAATGTGGATTATCCAGGGATTTTTTTTCATTATACTTTCCCCTCTACCCACGTCATGGGT